GTCTGATGGGCACGTCAGGGAGGGGCGGGAATCTGCCGGGCGCCAGTGGGGCAGCTGGAGCCCCCGGTGCCCCGGGGCAGTGTGCAGCATCCAGACACGGCAGGAGCCTGCCCAGGGGCTGAAGAGGGATGACATAGCCCTGAATGATCTGCGTCTCTTCTGCTGCCCATAAGGAGCTCTGGAAACTCACTGCAGGGCACCCAGTCCTGTGACCCAGCCCCACAGCAGAGCCTGTACCCAGAGTCCCCTCTCCCAGGACCCCACATCCACTGGGAAATGCCTTAGCATTGTTACCCTCAGGGAACACCTTATCCTCATCCCCACAGGCTCCATTATTGCACGAGTGCTGTTGCTGGCCCACCAACACCTACCCTGCTTCCCAGAGATATTCCCAAATCCCTTCTGCCCTCACCCAGGCTTCCAGATATTCCTCAGCATCTTCAGGATTGTCCCTGTCCTACCCTGAAATAAGCTTTTGATACAAACATGCACCCAGACTGTGTCATGGCAGACTCTTTTTTGGGAGGGGTCAAACCAGGACAGAAGTGGGGAGCTGTGGCCAGCACTGAAAGGACGTGGGGATGCATCCCCCACCAAAGGGAGTAACTGAGAAGTTGTAGCTAGACCTTCCTCAAACGGCAGAAAGATGGGGGGCTGTGGGCTCTGGCAGAAAACACAATGGAGCAGAAAGGAGTGGGGCCAACAGGGACGCTTAGACAGAGCAGAGCCCCCCAGCACTGCCCACAGCTTGGGACAGGGAGGAAAAACAGCCCCCAGGCACCACTGGGAGCTGAACCCAGGATCTCCTGTTAACTAGATTGGTGCTTTAACTGGCTGAGCTGTGGCACCCATTCTCCACAACCCTGGGGTGTACCACAGCCCTGGGGTGCCCCACAGTCTTGGAGCGTACCACAGCCATGATCCTGTCCAGCCCCTGTCTCCATCCTGACACCACACCAATACCAGGGTCACCCTGCAGGACTTGTGGGCCTGGGCACAGGGTTGAGACCCCAGGAATGGGGGACAGTCCTGTGAGTCATGCCACACTCAAAGCCCTGGTGACTGTGGGGTGTCCCTGGGTGATAAAAGTTGGTGGCCAGGTCCCAGATGAGCTCTGCGCTGCCTGAGCAGGAGTGGGATGCTGAGCACCCAAAAAGAAGGGCTCATCCGGGAGTTGAACCCGGGACCTCTCGCACCCTAAGCGAGAATCATACCCCTAGACCAACGAGCCAGGGTGCGCAGCTGCCCGGGCATCCCCAGGCTGTGCCAGGGCACTGGGGGGCAGTGGTCCCTGTGGGCCCCAGCCCTGGCAGCTGCTGATCAGGGCTGAGCCCTGCCCCAGCCCCTGGGGAGCAGAACAGTGATGGGCTGGGTGTGGGGATGCACCACACACCCCAAAGACCTCTGTGTTCCCCCGGAAAAGGGGCAACCGTGTGGGATTAGGAGGTGCCTGGGCTGGGGACAGATGTGTCCCCTGCATACTTGGGGCTGGGGCTGTGATAGCCGAGGGGTGAAGGCACTGGACTCGAAATCCAATAGGGTTTCTCTGTGTGAGTTTGAATGCTGCTCACAGTGAGAGATTTTTTACTGGGGGAGTAAGAGCAGGAGAGGGCTGTGTACAGCCCAAGAGAGTGAGGAACACAGGGCAGGGAGCCATGGACCACTGGCCCTGGGCCCAGTTGAAGTCCTCCCCTCTGTGGAGGGACCACTCGAGCAGGCTGGGCACCTACAGCCATGGCTTGTCAGTTATAAGTTTAGGTGCAGTGGCCCAGCTGGAGCGTACATGGAGCCCAGAGCCATGGGACCAAGGAGAAGGGCTTGGGCTCCCCCATCATGTGCAAGAGGGTCTGGGTCCAACTCCCAGAGGACTCCTCCCATAGGGAAAACTGTGCTTTTGTCTGGGGAGTACGAAGCTCGTTTAGGGTCAGATGGTGGCTTTGATCCCCCTAGCTTTGGGCTAGGCAGCGCGACTGGGGCAGCTCTGGTGCAGCTCACTCTCTCAGGTGTCCTGGCGTGGGGT